TCATAATAAATAGTCTCTTAATAATAAGTAATCTATTCTATAAGCTCTAATATAATAATAATATACTTTAAGGCTATTACTAAGAGATTGTCTTAAATATATATAAAATAGTCTGTCCTTCTACTATTCTCTTAAGTCTATCTCTTATACTTATCTATATTAAGACTCTTAATTATATTCTCTATTAAATAATCTAATATATCTATATCTATATATACTTATATAATACTAATATATATATCTAAGACTAAAGAGATATTATTCTTTCTTATTTCTATAGTATCTAATAAGAAGAATAAATAACTCTTTAATAAAGTTAAGAAGTTTATCTTCTCTAAGCCTAATCTAGATAAACTATATAAGACTATTAAGATAATTAATTATATTAATAACTATAGTCTTTTAGGATTTAGATATAGCCTATTAAAGACTATTAATATTATAGAGCTACTTAAGAGTATAATTATCCTTATAGATATAGAATCTAATAATTTAAATCTTAACTAACTCTTTAATATTAAGAAATACTAGTTATGATTAGAATATCTAAGAAAGATAGTTAAGTATCTTTAGAGAAGAAAGAAGGAATAGGACTAGTATTATACTATATATATATATAGTTTCACTATATTAATAGTTGTTCTAGTAGGATTGTAAATTAAATAGAGTTGATAGAAGCTACTTAAATAACTTATATATAAGATCCTAATTAATTAATTAATTTAATACTATAGATTTATATTATGGTTATAAACCCTTTAAGAGGGTCTAGATTTTATATATTAGTAGGAGGTTATATATAATTTCTTAGCTAGAGAAGACTGACTATTTATATTCTTCTATATAATAGATCTATAGAAAGATCTCTATTAGTTATATATATCTCCTATCTAATAGAAGGATTTATATAATAGCTAGGATTCTTATTAATAGTAGTTTTAATATCTCTTATATAGAAGTATAAGATTATTATATAAGATATAGGATAGGTCTATAGATATTTAGAGGGCTTATTATATAGCCTTTAATATCTAGACTTCTAGTATTTTATTAAATATCTATATAGTTCTTTAGATCCTTAATTTTTACTATTCTCTTTAGTCTTTCTTTTATTTATATCTTAAGGTCTTATTAGAGAGGTAGGTTATATATCTCTCTAATTATTTATATTAGAGATATAAGTATTTAATTAATTATATTCTTCTTATAGTTATCTTAAATATCTATCTTATATCTCTATATTAAGAATAATATCTTATATTTAAATATATAGTATATCTACTTAAAGATATCCTCTATCTACTCTTAAAATATATTATTATATAATAAGATAATAATCTATCTATTTTATTTATTTTTAATATACCTATTAGATATAAGCTAAGTTATACTATCAATATAATACAGTTAAAAGAGATATAATAAATATAATACCTATATTCTAGAGACACTATAATAATACCTAATAATAAGAACATAATTATTATCATAGATTAATCAAGTACAGTCCTCTAATTATAAAGGCTCTTAAGCCTAATAGCCATCTCTAATATAGGTCTAAGGCCTAGAATCAGTCCTAGACTTTTAGACCTCTCAACTATAGTTAACACCTAGAATCAGTCCTAGACTTTTTAACCTCTTAACTATAGTTTAGCTAGACTCCTATAGCCAGCCAATAAGTCAACTTATCTAGACATCTATATATATAAGTTTATAAGCTTAGACATACAAGCTATTTAATAATAGATATAGCTAAATTATTATAATAAACAGTCCTTTAGTAATAAGCAATCTGCCCTATAAGCTCTAATATAATAATAATATACTTTAAGGCTATTACTAAGAGGCTATCTTAAATATATATAAAATAGTCTATCCTTCTATTACTAGCTCTCTTAAGTCTATCTCTTATACTTGTCTATATTAAGAATCTTAAGTATATTCTCTATTAAATAACCTAATATAATACTAATATATATATCTAAGGCTAAAGAGATATTATTCTTTCTTATTCCTATAGTATCTAATAAGAAGAATAGACAACTCTTTAATAAAGTTAAGGAATTTATCTTCTTTAAGCCCTATCTAAATAGGCTTTATAATATTACTAGTAAAATTAATACTAATAATACCTATAGCCTTCTAGTCTTTAGATATAAGTTCCTATAGACTATTAATATAATAGAGCTACTTAAAAGCCTATAGATCCTTAAGAATAAGATATCTAATAATCTAAATCTTAACTAGCTCTTCTATATTAATAAATATTAGCTATAGCTAGAGTATCTAAGAAAGATGGTTAAGTATCTTTAGAGAAGGAAGGAGGAATAGAAGTGGTTTTACTATATTAATAGTTATTCTAGTAGGGTTATAAATTAAATAGAGTTGATAGAAGCTACTTAAATGACTTATATATAAGGTTCTAATTAATTAATTAATCTAATACTGTAGAATCATATTATAGTTATAAACCCTCTAAGAGGGAATAAGATAATAATATTATTATTATAGTTTATCTAAGAGATTTTTAAGATAAATTATATAAAGTATATTATTAGATATTACTTTATTAGATTTTATATAAGAACTAGATTAACATCCTAGAATTCTAGGCTAATAGATCTTTACTAGAGTTTTATTAAGATATTTATCTTTATACTTATCTCTTTATATATCTCTCTATTATTATTTAAGATATCTTTTAATATTTCTTTATATATAATCTTAGAGAATTCTAAGATTAAAGAATTATCTTAACTTCTAGATATTAGATTCTTAGATAAGAATATTATATTTTCTTAATTATATAATAATATATAATTATATTCTAAACTTATTTAACTTCTTTAAATAGATAATAAATTTATTATATACTCTTAATTATATAGTAATATATAACTATATTATAAACTTATTTAACTTTTTTAAATAGATAATAAGTTTATTATATAATCTTAGTTATATAATAATATATAATTATATTATAAATTTATTTAACTTCTTTAGATAGATAATAAATTTATAATATAATCTTCTAATCCTCTTATATAATATCTAGACTAGTCTTCTAGATATTAATTCTATAGAAATTATAGAATAAAGTATAAGATATAGCCTTAAGGTCTTATATATTAGTTCTATCTCTTTATTATTAGCTAATCTACTATTAAAAGAGTAATTAAATATCTTTTAATAACTAATTAGTATTAGTTTAGCTATATTTAGTAGATATATATATATCTAGATATTATTAGACTAGTTATTATAATCTTATTCTTATTATTATTCTCTCTATCTTTATAGTATATAACTCCCTCTATTTAAGATAGTTCTTTAGTATTAGTACTAGAGGCCTTTAGCCTTAGACTATTAATAATCTATACTATATATAGCTAGTTATTATATAGCTACTTAGTAGCTATATATTATTTACTCTGATTTATAGTAGATAATAGCTAGAGTGTGATTATACTTAGTGCTAGAGTTCTAACAGATATTATAATTATAATATCTCTTTTAATTATATTATATTAATAATATAACTTAACTTATATCTAATAGATATATTAAAAATAAATAAAATAGATAGATAGATAGATAAGATTTTAATTAATTAATTAATCTAATATTATAGAGTTATATTATTATTATAAACTCTATAAAAAGATATCTTTAAAATATAGGTATTATCTATCTATTTTATTTATTTTTAATATATCTATTAAATATAAGTTAAGTTATATTATTAATATAATATAATTAAAAGAGATATAATAAATATAATATTTATATTTTAAAGATATTATAATAATTTCTAATAATAAGAATATAATTATTATTATAGATTAATTAAGTATAATTCTCTAATTATAAAGACTCTTAAATTTAATAACTATCTTTAATATAAATTTAAAACTTAAAATTAGTTTTAAACTTTTAAATCTCTTAATTATAATTAATATTTAAAATTAGTTCTAGACTTTTTAATCTCTTAATTATAATTTAACCTATAACTAGCTAATAAGTTAATTTATTTAAATATCTATATATATAAGTTTATAAGACTAGATATATAAGCTATTTACTTAATAATAAATATAATTAAATTATTATAATAAATAGTTTTTTAATAATAAGTAATCTATTTTATAAGCTATAATAATATACTTTAAGATTATTATTAAGAGATTATTTTAAATATATATAAAATAGTTTATTCTTCTACTTTTCTAAGTCTATCTCTTATACTTATTTATATTAAGACTCTTAAGTATATTCTTTATTAGGACTTCTAAGTCTCTTTTTTATTAAATAATTTAATATATCTAAGACTAATAAGATATTAATCTTTCTTATCTTTATAATATCTAATAAAAAGAATAGATATCTCTTTAATAAGATTAAAGAATTTACTTTCTTTAAGCTCTATCTAAATAAGCTTTATAATATTACTAATAAAATTAATATTATTAATATCTATAGCCTTCTAATCTTTAAATATAAGCTTTTATAGATTATTAATATAATAAAGCTATTTAAAAGCCTATATATTCTTAATAAGAAGATATCTAATAATCTAAATCTTAACTAGCTCTTTTATATTAATAAATATTAACTATAGCTAGAATATTTAAAGAAGATAGTTAAGTATCTTTAAAGAGAGAAGAAGAAATAGAACTAATAATAATTTTACTATATTAATAGTTATCTTAATAGAGTTATAAATTAAATAGAGTTAATAGAAGCCACTTAAATAACTTATATATAAGGTTCTAATTAATTGATTAATCTGATACTATAGAATTACACTATAGTTATAAACCCTCTAAGAGAGATATAGATATTATATTTATTATATCTCTTTTAACTGTATTATATTAATAGTATAACTTAGCTTGTACCTAATAGGTACATTAAGAATTAAAATAGATAGATAGATAGTTATTATTATAGCTATATCTCTTTTACCTTTTCTATAGATTACAAAGTAAGATCTAGCTCTATCTACAATAGTCTAAACGCAGTCTGTAGTTAAGTGCTCTCACTGCACGGGGCAATCTTGACTACCTATTCCTCTTAAGCCTCCCATAGCTTGGCTCTGCCTCTCGATTCCTCGCTGAAGCATGTCCCATTGGTCAACGCCATCCACTTTGAGATCGGCGACGTCCTCGGCTTTGACAATCGCACCCGCCTGATCCTTGATGAGGCTTCCTCGTCCGTTTGCTAAAAACACGCCAACGACTGCAGCCGCAGTCATTAAAAGCTCCCCACGGCCTTCTCTCTTGCCACCAATGCCGACGCCCTCGCGGCCTGCAGCAGTCGAAAAGACAAAACCTACCACAAATGGAAGTTTGTCCTCTTGTGGCACATACTGAAGGAACTCAACACCCACAAGTTGGGTAAACTCTTCCTTCAACTCTGCGAGGAGAGCCCACGCTGTGTCGTGCATGGTGAAGTAGTCAAACGTTATGGCAGGGATCTCAGCATGGATGTCAAAGGCGAGCCTCTCGATGAGGTCAGCAGGTGAAAGCTTGATGGTTTCGCGCTGTAACCTGCTGTTAGCTTGAGTCTCCTTGTCTCGTTTTAGTAGAGCTCACCTCCAATTCTTTGGCTTGCTCCCTCATCTCTGGCTGAATATGGGCCTTGCCGTCCTTGAATTGATGCCGCCGACCCTCCATGAGGATCTCCTCGATTCGATCGGACGAGAGCGCTGGGCGTGCCCTGGCTGGCGCCAGTCGCTCAGCCATGAACAGTGACGACCACCCCATAAATTTCATGTTACGCCTGTTCTCCGTGTTAACACTGGGCGCGCCTTTGCGCCTATTGGGCGCCCAGTTGCTCACGGATACCCCGATGCTAAGACAATAGTTTCTAAAGTACCCCTCGAGATCAGCGGGTGGCTTCCCCACGAAAAAGGTCGGATTGCCCTGCATTTTCCAAAGCGTCTCGAGGTCCTCCCAGACGAGCTCCTCGGGGAACAACTTCTCTTCGCGGAGCGCGTGATACAGCTGCACCGTGGACAACAATCCTCCGGATGGCGCTGCGTATTGCACCCCCGAGCGGTGCAGCGTAGCACGCATATTGTGGATGAGAAGACCGCAGTGAATTGGGTTGCGACGCAGGAACTGGAATTCCGTATAGCGTTTGTCATCTTGCGGTATGCCCAAGCCCTTCAGCTGCGCACGTATTTTTACAATCGGGTCCTTGTCCCAACTGGTCGCGGCCTTGAGGACAGCTCGGCGCTCCGGCGAGGTTTCTGGCACGTGGAGCATCATCCTCTTGATCCTCAGGCTCTCCTGCCGCATGTCATCCAGTCCGCGGCCGCAGTTCTTGCCGAGAGATCGTAAGATGTCTAGATGAATCTGCGCCGCCCAGGCCAGCCAAAGGGGCATATCACCACCGTCCTCACAGCCATATACTAGTTCACCTATACCGCGAGTCATCTCGTCTTCAATTAAGGACCCTCCTCCAAAGCTCGACGAGAGGATATGCAGATAGTCGAACAGCTCGAGCAGCACTGCCATGTCCTGCCGCCACCTCGCCCGGGGTGGGCTCGCTGGATCCTCAACGCCTTCGTTGTACCAGCCATACTTCCCATTGTAGCTGTCGAGGACTGAACTGGGCGATGCAATGGCAGCCCAGCTGGTCACAATGGTGAGCGAATTGACAAGGCAGAGCTGCGCGCGATCATAGGCTTCGAGGTTGAATGGGTCACCGGGTCTCTCCTTATCTAGCACATTGATGCCGGACGCCGCGGAGGTGGCAATGAAGTAGGCAGTGAGGAGGGTGTCGGGGCCGCCAAAATTGCTCAGCACAGGCTTGATCTCGTCTTCCATGCTGCGAGCGAGATCGAAGGCGGCGTTGGTAGCCACTGCCACAGCGGCCAGGTCGAGATCTCCGGCCGCATACCGGGACCAGAGTGACTTGACATGCTTTGTGAGACGATCATAGTCGTCCAGGAGCGAGACCAATGCAAAGACTGCATCTTCCCAGCTGTTCTCGTCCTCGACGGCGTACTCGGTCCGTGATGCAGGCGGGACGGCGACGTCTGGGGCGTCCATGAACGCTTTAGACGGAGTATACACGTCCAGAACAGCAAACATGTTTCTGAAGGGATGGGGAGACTTTTTGGCGGACACCTTGTGCACTTTGCCGACGTTGAAGATGTTGGCATTCATGAACGGTTGGAGACGTGCACGAACATTCTCGAGCACCCCCACAAAGAAGGAATGTCGACTGTCAGAGGCACGGTTGGGGCGAGCTCCACTGGCGATGAGCTTCTCCGAGAAAGCCTTGCGTACTGTTTGATAGAAAGGGTCAATACCGCGGATCATCTAGATTCAACGACGGACTCCTGGAGAGAGGGGACTCGTACCCCAGATCACGCGTTCAAGAGCGAGGGTAACATGGTCCGGGACGTGGACAGCATCGATGCCAGCCAAATGAGCCGCCATGGGCTCAAAGTCTTTGATGGCAACAACATGACGTGTCCCGGCCGCCGAGGCCGAGGAGGCCGGCAAACTCGGAGCTTTGCCTTGCTTGCGCGTGCTCCGCCCTCGCCTGCCACCCGAAGCGGGTGACTTGCCGGTCTTGGAACTACCCTTGGCAGAATCATAGCCATGGGCCTTGGCGGTCGTGGCCAGCCACGTTGCCACCGAGTCCGTGTCGGTTTTGTATTGCTGGTAGATGCTCTTGAGAGACGGGGGAAGCATGTTGGGAGTGTTACTGGCCAGGAATGGGGATATATTCGCCACAGTTCGCTGCTCTGTGCTTGTTTGTTTGAAGAGAAACAGGTAGGATGCGGTGAGTGAGCTGAACCGGAAATGGCCCTAGCAAAAAGCAGGGTCATGGATGCGGTCCGACCTCGACTCCGGGCCTGACAGGGTATTGATTGGCATTGGGAACATGCAGTGAGTTGTTGCCTAGAAAGCAGGCAATGTCCCCACGATGGTAGCTATTTGGGGGTATTGGGAGCTGTTCTCCTCATCAGCAAATGTACCTTGGGATTGTGATAGGTTCAACCGTGCACTGTGCTTGACCATCATGCTACATACATATTTTCCCTTCCCCTACTATTACGCCTATCCCTGCAACTTATTTTTTCTCGTGTTGGCTCAGCACAATACTGGAGCTCACACTATACATGGACTTGCAATAAGTACGCCGTTCAAGCCGGAAGAGTAAGTAGGCGATATACTAAAAGATTGATCTTCGACTTCCAGTGGCAACAACGCAAGTTGCGTAACATATCGCGATGGAGGACCAAAGGCCCACCTCGGATGTCAGACAATCTCCCTTGGTCTATGCTGTACTATCAAGGGGACGAGGTAGTCACAGTGGAATGCCATGACTAAAGAGGTCGGGGACTGGTTGACCTGGGAAGCCATCGTGACAAAGCTTACCATTTGTTTTTGTGTTCGGCTTGCTTGGGTTGCCATCAAGTCTGGGCAACAGACTTGACGAGCACCGGTCCGCCCAAAGAGGGGGGGGGAGCGGTCTCGGAGTCGTAGGAGGCTCTGGTGACTGTTGCACAGATATTCTCCATCTCATTTGCTTTTTGCCCATCTTACGATTGGGTCATATGATCATGACCACTTATCCGTCCGTTTCTGTCTGTACTGATTCGGGACCGCCTTGTCTGGGTGTAGCCCTCCTTCGGCACTCATCCAGGCTGGAATGTGAAGTGCAGTATGCGTTTCACAGAACATCCTCCCGGGCATCGGCCGAGCCAATGACGATCTGTCTGAACACGAGGAATAGGGTCCAACACGACTCCGATTCGGGGCCTGGGAAGAGGAAGGCAGTGCATTCTTCACAACCGTCCTCTATGACTCAACGTGCGAGTCGAGGCAGCGTCCCGGACGACAGGCAAACCACGAGTTGTTACAGTCTCACGGCGTGGCCGCGGTGCCATACGAGAGTGATGCCTTGAACCAGCCACGCCAGTTCCGATGAAGCGGCAGCCTGGTATGAGCTGTAGGACCGATGCGGCGCACACCAGTCTTGCGACAAACCATGTACGTGTTCGCAACTGTACAACTTCAAAGGCCAAAGATTTTGGAACATGAGACTCGGGCCGTGTTGAGTCTCTTGGCCAAAGAGGCCACGCCCGCGTATGCGTCCCACAGAGCAATTGCTTGCGATGATAGCATCAGCATGAACCTTTGTGGATGCGACTAGGAGGACAAGCACTGAGCCATCCGGCGGTGAGGCCGATGAGTTCGATTCACTCGTTTGCGAAACCCCCTTCCCACCCCCGCGCCGACAACTGCCGGCGGTTTGTGATCTGAGGAGGCACAGGGAACTTTTGGTGTACCATGCGAGCAGCATCGCCCCATCACCTCGCCATCCGCTGACCCGTGAAATGGATCTCGTTGATCATGAGGCATTGGAAGACGGTGACGAAGAAGAAGGCCGACATGAGACCAATCGCCTGGCCTGTTGAGTTCTTGGAGAGAGCCAAGGGTTAGATGCGTCTAGGTTGGACGGTTTGCCTCGGGTATCTTTTGTGACGTTGAGCAGTCCCTGAGTTGTGACAACGTCGTGGCCAGTTTACATGTTGCCCGGTTCCATAAAGGCGTGAAGGCCACATTATCTTGGGTATCTCGCTCGCTGACCCAACCAGCCTGTGGGCAAGGAAGACAATGATCCGTCACAGAGGGAGAAGGCGGCGGCACGCTCCCGCTACGTGCGCTCACCCGAGCCCAGTCAGATGGCGTCCAAGCCTCGGTGTGTTGTACAAGCTCGGAACGACTCTGATGTCCGTCGTCGTGCAGGGCGTATCATCACCGCCTGCCACATGACAGGACACACGCTTGGACAAAGCCGGTGTGGTGTTCGTCTCGGGCTTGCGCGGAGCTTGTCCTGACGGCAATAAGGATTATGGTATCACCCAAGCCCCCAAAGTACTCGAAGCGAGATGCCCTGTCTCGCTTCTGCTAACCTCTCGGGTCAACGAGTGCGTGAGACGGAACGTGACGGCGATGCGATATCGCAGCAGGGAGATGCAAACCAGACACTCGCTTGTGGGCTTGTCAATAAATAGGCCGGTTATCCCCTTTCGAGACAGGCATCAGTCAGAAGTTCACCGCATTGCGCATGCACTACGTTCCCTCCATTCCCTGTGTCCCCATCCACGGCTTCACAATGGTGTCCTCCAAGAAGCAACTGTCCGAGGACTCTTCCCGGCCGGATGACCTCAACATGACCATGGCTTGGACAGGTTATGGAGAATCCAGCGATCCGCAGGAGTACGTCAATTCTGATGACTATCCCTACTACATAAGCCTCGAGGCAGACCACTACCACCAAACCTCTTTTGGTATGGCGGCATCTGACTACTCCCACATATGCTCCCGGTCCGACATGACGCCTCGCTCGTTCGCGGTCAACCCTAGGGCATCTACTCTCGACCTACAGGAGCAACTGCAACAGGATCACCAGTATCTCGAGGCACTCCACAAGTCGGCTGCAACCCGTCGGGTCCATGGCGGCTGGGCACAGCACGGGCATCGAGCAAATCCATGCATCACCGAGCAAAACCTGGCGACGCTCGGTGGCCAGTCTAGCCAGAGCGGGCGGAAATCCCAGCTCTACCACCGCCCCAAGACAAAGCTCACCACTGCCACCCACAACCCTGGCGCGTCCTCCAAGGACCAAGCCGCCAAACTGGCCAAGGGCGGCCGGCGAGGCGATGAAAAGTGTGGCACCAAGTCCAGCCGTTGCTCTGGCTAGGTCGGGCAAGGGGTGCAGACTGCGCTTGATTGTCGGGTAATTGCCAGATCGAGCATGAATGGTACGGGGGCGCAAGCCTCTTCCTGTCATACAGCTGCACACGACTGATGATCTGTCAGAATCGGAAGCACAGGTGCAAAGGAATCAGGCGAGCGAGCGGCAAGCGAGGGGGTGAAGGATCAGGAAACTGGGTATGTTTGTCTCATGCTAGACCCAAAGAGGGAGTCCGTCAAATACAATCATAGCGAATATAAACATCATAGAGTCCCAATGGGGGCTTGTACCAAGAGATGAGATCGCCCGTGCGACCACGTACCTGCATTTTTCGGTCGGTCCAGCGCACCAAGCGCACTCTCATGACCGACGGCCTAGAAGCGGTCCTCGGGTTTCTTCCAGCCAGCCATCGCTCCGACCTGGGCCATGAGGGCTCGAATGTTGTCGACCAGCGCTTTGGCCATGCCCTGGGAGCGCCGGTTCTTGGAGGCATCGGCGCCTGCCGCAGAAATGGACGCGCCTTCGCTTCCCATTGTGGGTAGCACGTTGTCGCTGGCGGACAGACTGACAAAAAGGGCGAAGGGGATGAGCCAAACGCAGAGGCCAAAATAGGATGCAATCTCGGTGAAGGTCGGGACGTTATCGGGAGTGTCGTAGAAGGAGGACATGTTCTGGTAGGCGCGCTGCTGGTGTCCAGAGAAATGCCTGAACCAAACCCAGTGGTTGACGAGGACGAGGACTGCGGGAACAAGAAGGCGGCGACGTCAGCCAGACGCGGTAGAGGCAAGGGGAACACACGCAAAGGCAAGGGCCCGGCTTGGAGAGAGCTCGGAGAGCTCAGAGCCAAAGGCCACCTACCGCAGGAAGCAATAAACAGGGGGTCGCTCAGCTTGACGAAGGGGAACCTTCGCATGTTGCCGAGGTAGACGACATGGGATACGATGCCCAGGATGGTCAGCCAGAAGGGGAAGCGGTCGACGATGCAGAGAAGCAGCTGCAGCACAATGACTGCGTAGATGAGGCGGGTGAGGAGGCGTTTGGCGAGCACGGTATGCTCCTCGACGAGCTCTGACAGGTAGTAGAGCCCGGATGCTGTGTCTCGGTCAGTTGTAAGGTCTCTCTCCTCTTTCTCCTCTCTCTCTCTCTCTCTCTCTCTCTCTCAGAAAAGAGGGTGGTCGTACCGATGGCCAGGGTCAAGAAACAGAAGCCCAGGATGGACCCCAGGTAACCAACAAGAGGTAGAATCCACATGTTCTAGGCTGACACAGTTTATGGAATTGTTTCGTCAATTAACGCACATCGTCTATGGTGTGTTGCAGTATGTTGTTGCGTGTGTGTGTTTACGGACGGTGGTGGTGTGTGCCTGTCTGTCTGTTTGGATCGCGATGAAGCTTGAGCAGCTGATTATGCAGCTGATTAGCAGGGACAGACGCGCCAGCGGTACCTAGGTAGTGGTGGTGGCGCGCATCGCGTAATCTTTCGAGCCTGCCAGGTGGCCTCCAGCTTGCTTGAAATTAAATGGCAACTGGCTGCACGGGGGGGGGGGGCACTCAATTGATAACTGAGCGATAAGAGAGATAAGCGATAACGTTACAGCGAGGCACGAGTTTGCTGCTGGCTGCCCCACCAAAAAGTTTCGACAAAAACTCCCGCCAAAAGTGCCCATCATTATCGCCATCATCGCTCCCTCAACCTCCACCAACTCTGCGCGGCTGCTCCCCCCAAGACACTTTGGTCACCACCCCTCGCCGCGACCATGTCGAGGCCCGAGGATACTCTGTATGTGCAGCCGATTCCCCTCCCGCGAGCTCACTGCCCCGGCCCAGCCCAGAGACTAACTAGCAGCCACCGCAATCTCCAGCTCCGCCGACGTGCACTACGATGACACTGAAGCGCGCAAGTACACGACGAGCTCTCGTATCCAAAACATCCAGGCCTCCATGACCCGGCGTGCTCTCGAGCTCCTCGATCTTCAGTCTCCCAGCTTCATTCTCGACATTGGCTGCGGAAGCGGCCTCTCCGGCGAGATCCTGACCGCCACCCCCCAGGACGAGGGCGGGCCGCACACGTGGATCGGCATGGACATCAGCGCCTCCATGCTCGATATCGCGCTGCAGAGGGACGTCGAGGGTGACCTCATGCTTGCCGACATCGGACAGGGCGTGCCCTTCAGGGCCGGCTCCTTCGATGCCGCCATCAGCATCAGCGCCATCCAGTGGCTGTGCAACGCCGAGAGCAGCGACACCTCGCCCGCCGGCAGGCTGTCCAGGTTCTTCAACGGCCTCTACGCCTCGCTGAGGAGAGGCGGCCGCGCAGTCTGCCAGTTCTACCCCAAGAACGACACGCAGAGAAATATGATCACCCAAGCCGCCGTCAAGGCCGGCTTTGGCGCCGGTCTGCTCGAGGACGACCCCGAGACCAAGAATGTCAAGGTATACCTGGTCCTGACGGTCGGCGGCGCCGCCAGCGACGGCAACACTGGCGACATCACTGGAGTCGTCAAGGGCATGGACAATGTCGACGTCCTCGACTCGCGCAAGAAGGGCACCAGCGGCAAAGGCGAGATCAAGAAGGGCAGCAAGGCCTGGATCGTCAAGAAGAAGGAACAGATGGAGCGGAAAGGCAAGATCGTCAAGGCCACCTCAAAGTACACTGGACGGAAGAGGAGGATCCAGTTCTAGAAGCCGGCGGGCGACCCTTCTGCCTCCTTTACTTTCTCTTTGCATGCATGGCACGGCGTTTTCCATTTACCCAGACATCATCAATTGCTCTGTCTACGGAGACGAAATGCAGATCCGATACCCCTTCAACATTGTATTGTTCTTCATCCCCCCCTTTTAACTATCTTTTTTCTTCTCCAAATGCGTATTGTCGCTCAGATTTGGCCACCCACTTCCATGCCACCAGGCAAGCCAGCAGTGACCTCGCTGTGGACGATATACTCGTTTGAGTAGATGGGTAACCCCTCGTCGTCAATGGTGACCTGGGTGGAGCACACACTGACCTGGAGCCCGGGCACATCTGGGACTGCTCTTTCATCCCCGTTGTACAGAGTCACGCGCCATTTCAAATGCTCCCTGAGGTACGGGACCACCTTCTCTGGGGTCAGATCCCGCAGCTGGCCCCCAGTGATGTCTTGCAAGAGGGCCGAGGTGAGCGGGACGGTGCCGGTCACGGTCAGGTCCTCGGCTCTGTCCTTCTGGCACTTGCCGCAGCGGGTCGTGGCGCCGCGGCCAAAGACGGTCACGCGTCCGACGCAGTTGTACTCGGTGTCGTAGCCCACCGGGTCGGAGGTGATGTCGCCGAGGAAGACGAGCACGCGGTATGCCTGGCCGAGGCAGTGCTTGAGAGCGCGCACATTGACGATCCACTCGTTATACGTGTTGTGCGGGGCTAGACGTGCGAGCGACGACGGAATCGGGCCTAGAGGTATCCCATCAGTTCGGACCATCCATGTCTTCCCTTCCTCTCTTGGCTCACCAAGCCAGGGACAGGAGGAACGGGTACACTCACTCTTGTGGCCTTCGGTAGCAGACTGCCCGCTCGAAAGCGGCTTCTGCTCGCCATGCTCTCCGGGCAGACCGGGATTGGCCGTCTTGGACAGCGCATGTACAGTGGCCTGCACCTTGTCTATGCTGGTCGCGACGACATTCTGCGCGGTAGACTGGCTGCCGGGGGCCGGCTGCTTGGCGATGTTGTCAGCAAAGTTACGCAACGTGTTGGCACCGTACAGCATGGTCACGGTGCGGCGGAGGCTCTGCCGGTAGGCCTGGTCGCTGGCAAAAGTCCAGCGCTGTGTCTCCGGGTAGGCGTACCCAAAGGTTGCGGAACTCTTGACCTGGGCCGATGTCCAGAACTTTGTGCCGCTGCGGTCCCAGAAGGGCGTCAACGGCGAGTCCTGCGTCTCCATGGTGCCCTGGAGGGTGGTGAAGGTCGTCATGGGTGCCGGCTGCGGCGTGATGTAGCTGTCTGGGTTAAGATCCTGCCAGATGGCCCACAGGCGGTCGACGTTGCTAGTGTCTTGGAGTCAGTGCCTTCTTCAAAAGCCGGCCCAAAGAGTATGCTGGGGACTTGCCAGTGATGAAGCCAAAAGATGGGATCAAAAGAGGACGTCTCCAGGGCCGCCATGTGGCCGTTACTGCCGCCCACCCGGTCGTGGATCTCGTTGTGCACGTCTTCGAGACTGCCAAAGGTGCCGGGTTGGTTGCTGCCCCGCCATTTGTTGTTGGTGAACGAATCAAAGTCGTGGTACGACAGCAGCAGAAGCGCCACATTGGTCCGGAGAGATGCGCTCTCGTTGGTGAGCACCTGCGACACCATGGCGTTACGGGATTTACCGTTGGCATCCGGGTACCGGACGGTCGTCTTGAACCGGCTCCACTGGGCGCGTGGGTTAGCCTAGCCCCCCCTCTATGTATCGCCAGTATTCCAGATACCTACCGTCTCGTCAAAGTCTCCGGGAGAAGGATTGACCGGGTGGAAGCTGAACTGGTAGAGGGGGTTCTCGATGTCCTTCTTTTTGCCGTCGACGTCCGTCACCGAAATCTTTTCCGAGCCGATGAGGCTCGGAAAGGCGCTCGTGCCGGACGGGACGCGGATGGCCCAGTCGTAGTAAGGCAGACGGAAGTCCTTGGCTGCCCTAAGGTACCGGTCCCGCAGAGTCGGCGGGAACTTTTGGGCAGCGTCCTGGACCATGAGATAGAGGACTTGCTACTTGTTTCTCAGTAACCTAGTCTCCCAAAGAAGTCTGACAAGCAAGCACGGGCCATACTTCAAAGAGGGCGAGGTACGGTCGATGCCAGGTGGCGAAAAGCACGGAGGAATGAGTGCAGTATCCCCCAAAGTCAAAGGCGGAATTGCCCTTGACATTGTCCCAGGGCTTGAAAGGCTCTCCATGGATGCCTGGGGGACTGGTCAGTCTGTCTCTCGCAGTGAGGCAAGGCCCTTACTCACCTGCAACCTGGTAGTACGACAGGACATCCTTCTCGTCCATGGCCTCATACTGCTTCAGGCCTAGGATCAAGAGGTCGAACTGCTCTGGGTGATTCTTTTGGAGATCACGAATCTCGCGACGCAGGGGCACAGAGCCTGCAGTTTGTTACGAGGGAGGCTCAACTTTAGTACCCGCCATGAGCACTCACCATTAGTACCCGAGGTGGTAGGCACGCCCGTGATCTGCACTGTTCCGTTCATTGTGACGCGTTGTTGTTCAGAAAAGATGGATGGTTGTCTGTATGGTTGTGTGGGCAGAGGTGTCTGGTCGCTCTGCCCTCACAAGGAGATGGGTTGGGATTCTGGGGGTTCATATAGAGGGGAACCAAGCAATCTAGGACGCAGGACGCGTTGCTGTGCGACACTACCGCCCGGCGTAGCAACGAAGATTGCCCATGCAAATCACGAGAATGCCCTACCGTATGTATGCTGTACAATGTACACTTTGTCCAGAGCTCGTATGGAGCCCCAGACCATGCAAAGCCGGCGCAATGAATATCACAGGTGCACACCTTCTTCGCACCTCGCATGTATTTCCAAGGTTGAACGAGGAACGACAGCCAGGACACAAGCTTTCGTAGCTTTTTACTTGTGGCCACTGCATATCTGGCCCGTAACTGGCTGGAATCGGCCCCTATCAGGGGGGTGTTGTGAACCTGTGGAGGCTGCGGTGAGACAGGCGTCAAGGCTAGGCCTGTCAGCTGAGCTCCTCTGTGTTGTGGGCGTTCTTAGTCAGACCGGGCAGAAGGCTAGAAATTCCGATTGCATTGCCGTATGGACCAAGTACGAGACTCTGGGAAGTTGTGAAACAGGAGAGCCGCCTAGCTCACTCCGCACTTGGCTCAGCCCTACAAGAGCAACTCGATCCCGAAGCCAGCATCCGGTGCTCCATAACGTCGCAGATCCGTGTCTGCCAGCAGACCGTAAGCACAGTAGGTGTGATGGGCATACTCATGTTGACACGTCGAATTATCGTGGTCTTACATGGTGGTGTGCCACAAGGAGGTCAGCTCACTAATTATGCTTGCGATTGATTGTGGTCGGTCAGGCATACTGGCTCTGCGCCGCGACTTTCTTGACCGGACGCAGAAGCCTGAAGTTGCACAACTCCATGATGAAGCTGCCTTTTGTTCAGTGACCCTTGACGTCTCACGCTCAGCGTTTCATGTAATGTGATTACAGTTTGTCAGTTGTAGTCCCCGCCACACTGGCCGAACTACATGTGTCTAGCATCACATGTCCTGGAAGCTTTCAGGGCCGCTCGGCCACCCCCCTCGCAGTGACGCGTCGTGATTGAGCCACTCACCTTAGCATCGTTGTGCGCGGTATCATTCCATTTTCGTGACTAACCACAAAGGGTCATTGCACCACTCAAGCCACCCCTTTCCACCGAGGATGAACCATCTGCATGACACACATGCATGCAGGTATCCGATACCAGTTGGATTGGTTGACTCCGCCACCCTCGCTCAATTCCTTCCCATCGACATTGTGAATGGAACAGCCGGAGAAATCACATAGCACTGCAGATCTGTAGTATGAGAATCGACGGGCGAGTCTCAACTACTCTAGCGACCTGAGAACAGTCGCATTGCTGCATTCTAGGGCAGGCACAAGCTTCCTGAGGCCACACAGAAGACTGTAGCAAATCGTTGATTGTCATTCTCCGATTCATTGTCTGGGGCATTGTCAGCAACGGGTGAGATGGGTGATTTGCTCGAGAACATGCACCATTCACGCCCTTAAGCTCACCAATGGCGTATGCAGCGTTTTGTCTGTCGTCTCAATGACTCGGCCTATAAAGAATCTTTGCGGATTTCTAGACCGTGAAGGTGTTTTATGTGTGATTTGCGCCTCCATCAGGTTTGTTAGGGATGCAGAGGGATATGGAGAGCCGTCGGTGGCATCTCCCTTGCATATTCAGTCTAGTTCATCCTCTTTCGATACAGGATTAACAGGCTGAGCCCCGTCTGCATCGATGTATTCTCCTGGTCTTCACTGGCCTCTCTACCTCTATTCCACATAAGTCTTGCAGCGAGGTGGGCAGCAATACCTAACATGTCAGTCGGCCCTGTCGACTAGCGGGATGCGTGTTTGTTTCAAACGCTAACTCCATCATCTTGTCAGCCTACTCACACGTTGAGAGGGTGTCATTGATGGAGTGGCGGCACATCTACGGGTGATGCTACTGCAACTAGCTTAAGACCGGCTCAATGTGGATATTCACGCATTCAAGTCGTCCATTACGAAATCCAGTATCACGACAATGCTACTCGCTTTATTGCTCGACTAGCTGTTTATCTACAAGCCATTTGACAGTGATGACCTACTCCTCTTGTTTCCTGGGCCACATCCTTTGTGTTCCCGGACTACAGTAATGCTCAGCCTACGTTCTGGTCGGTCGAACACTTTAGACGCAGAACACAGCGTGCGCCTTCTTGATTTCGGTGTCCACTCTGACGGCCCCCTACTCCATGACTGGGGTTGAACTAAGTTGCAAAGATGAATGAGCATCATGGAAGCTTTCTAACGACCCGTATAGACTTACTGTCCGTCCATGGCTAGTCTGGCCTGTCCCGAGACCGTTTTCCACATATCGCAGATTGTACCTGTACCCGGCTGGTAACTCGCCTCCGCCGTAGCTAGTGCAACCGCCCGCCTGGCCGAGGGGCTTCCATGCACCTGTTGATCCCCACGCAATCGGGGACTGGACAAAGAAGGGCAGACGATGCTGATGGAGTCTACTCACAGATATCCACCCAGCAGGCGGAGGCGGCAGAGGCCGCAACGAAAATGGAGAACAGCGAGTATTGCATGGTGACAGTGGACCAGAAACAGGCTGGTTGTGGATTTCGCGGTGAATATGGGATACTGAACAACGAGAGAACCAGCTTATTTATACTCTTGTAAGCACCCTGGCCGACGAATCACAGGATCCGGGCTCGACATACCGTGCCACGGTAATAAAAAAGCCAACATTCTTGGCCAAGTTTGGATGCGTACGAATGCGCCTACCTGGTCTGTTTACTGTTCGTGAACCCCGACTTATGCCTACGCTAATGCTTCTTGGGGAGCTATCAAGGTACCTCGCGCACCCTATAGAAAGATCACAGGGGTTATTTGGACGGCTCATGGACCGCAAAGAAGCGGTGTACTAACAGGCGTCATGCTCCAAGGTAAAGTGGCTGTGAGGAGGCAGAAAGAGAAGCTATTTTTGATTTCACCTCGCGATATCCCGAGTAAATTTGCGATTATACTATTAACAAGCTCATCTTCTTGGCCTTGTCACTGTATGCTACTGGAGCGACCTAGGAATGTGTCAGTCGCTTGGTTCGTGATCCTTGTGCTCCTTGATGCCATAAAAGTATAACATTCTGGCCCTTGATGAAATCCTTCCTTTCGCGAGTCGACTGACCGGATCGGATACCCTGTTCAGGGACCTGGGCAAGTAAGAAACAGCCTTTTTAGCTCGCATCTCCGAGTGCCCCCACCACTAGGCAGAACATTCCATCCATTGCCCAGGCCAATCTCGGCTGCGAATTTCACCTCAGCGATTACGCCCGGATTTATGTCAAGTATGTCTGAGCATTGCTGGTGAACTGCGGTAATATCCCTGCGGACGAGTTTACCAATTCGTGACAGTCTAGTATTTTTCATGACCTCTTGGTCGCTATCTTATAGGCCCGTGCATGATAAAAGCTAAAGAGGCCTCCTATTCTCTGCTGATATAGGGGCACGTGCAGTTGGATCAGTTCCCGTTTTCCCCTTTGTGCGGTACTACGAGCTAGTTCGAGGTGCTGATGGATATGAAGGTCCATGTTCAGATGCAATGTGTGGCCAAAAGCCCTGCTGTGCAGCAAAGCTTCATATCCTTGAAAAGAGGTGAAGTTTGGGCAATAGTCCGGCGCGGGGAACCCCATGGTCGAAATTTGGGAGCCGCACGGGTGGTGGGTTCAAAGGTTGGGGGCAGCAGGCATCTCCAATAGGAAACAGGCTCTCGAAGTCTGCCTCGGCATGGCCGGAGTGGTTCGTGGGTTCCTCCACAGCGGCCCGTCGCGTGAGAGTGTTCGCCATACAACTGTTAGCAAGACGGGTGCATAGCCTGATCCGAATAGGCGACTGGTCATATCTCGTAACTGCGAACGGCACGCGTGTGTTGCACTGCAGGACGCTAGGCTGAGTTGTCGTCCGTGCCGTTTGGTCCGTGGGGGCAGCCCTGCCGACGAGTCGTCACGGCGAGCTCTGGTTCGTGGCCTGATTCGGCCTGCCTGGGTGGTGGCGTTCGGGCAACCCTTTTCTTATCTTCGCGCCCGGCCATTTGGATGTGCACACACTCTGTAGACCTATTGCAGTGAAGCCTACACATGGATGGGAACTGCCTCAGTCGTCTCAGGTTAGCTCAAATGGGCATCTCGGTCTGACAGCCAACCATGCTCGGGCCAATGCCATGGCACGCGATCCAAAGTGCACTTCTCCGCGGCTGCCCCGAGGATTAGGCAAACACAAAAGGGCATTGGTTATTAAAGCATGGCTCGCATCTCCCGGGATGGGGAGGACAACCCCAGTGACACATTCCAATCCTGGTGCTGCCCGCCAACCTGTGATTCCAGTGCAATGAGTAATGACGACGACTACTTTCGCGTGGGGAGGTCCAGAGGCCAAGCAGAGGGACACTATGACGGAGCTGGGCTGCAGAGCTATTCCCGCGAGCCATCCACCGGAGTATACGCGAAGAATCTCATCTATGTGAGATCGCGGAATCCGTCACGGTCAGGCTCGCGCACTCCGCATCCGCACAGCGAATTCGAAACCAGCCGCTACTCAACAATATCGGCCCCGACCTCTGCACGCCGTCGCAGACCCTCGCAGGTAGTTGATGTGCTCAGTCCAGATAACAATGATGCTGTCATTGTGACGGTTCAGCCGCCCTCTCGTTCTGCCTCGCCTCCTGGCGCCGACTTGCGTCCCAAGAAGAGCGTCCGTCGGCGATACAGCTCCCCAGGCGACTTGCCACAGCGAAGGCAGCTTTCGGGTACACGGGATGGATCGCAGTCTCCATCGTACTCGCGAGATCAGTCGCCATCCTCCAACCAACGACGCTCACGGTCGTCTTCTCCCTGCCCTGCCTCCCCACAGCCTGATGTTGTGCAGTATCAGGTCATTCCATCCCAGCCGCTTCCCCAGCAGCTACCGCAGCCCACCCCTGTCGCCCCATCACAAGCCCAGTCACCACATCCGCAGCCTCAAGCGCTACAGCCGCTCCCTCAGTCACCACCAGCGTCCCAGGCGCCGGCCGCCAGCGAGCCGGCGACGGGACCCATTCATTCCGCCCCCACGTACAACCCCTTGGCGACCGGCCATGGAGCGGTGCTGTATCGACCGCTCCAGCCTGGAGAGTATCGCCTTCTCAAGCTCCTGCCAAAGCGAATGGAGATTGTCAAGTGCGAAATCCTGCATTTCCCACTCAACAGGGCCCCGCGCTACCGTGCGGTGTCGTATTCGTGGGGCGATGCCGATGTTACCCAGAAGGTGCAGATTGGCACGGAAATCATACAGATCACCGCCAGTCTCCAAGGCGCACTCAATGCCCTGCGTGACGAAGAGAAAGAGGTCTACGTGTGGGCTGACGGATTGTGCATCAACCAACAGGACAGAGACGAGCGCTCGCAACAGGTCCAGCTCATGGCCAGCATCTACGCGAGAGCCGAGATGGTGGCCGTCTGGCTCGGTGCCGAGGCTGACGGCAGTCCGGATGCCGTGAAGCTCTTGCATGAGATTGCCGATAACAGAGACTCTCTGAAGAGGCTCAAGCACATCCTCGACCCGCCCGAGCGCAGGCCAGCCTGCAAAGCCCTGGTCGCGCTCTTTGAGAGAGACTACTGGGACAGGCTGTGGGTCGTCCAAGAGGTGTTCAACGCCCACAAGATCAGGGTCTACTGCGGGGATTTGCGCATACCTTGGCAGATATTCAGAGACGTGTGCGACGTCTTCAAAAGGTATGAGAGGGAGCTCAAGCCGTACTTTGTGGCCGGGTTCAGCGACAACGCGGCGCTCACTCCGACCCAGGATCTCAAGTACTCGCACGTCCTGACCCAGGGTGGGCCGGGCAGCTTCCCAGAGGTCAGCAGCGTCAACCGCCACGGGCACATGTCCCTGTTTGAGGTTCTCTATGCGTGTAGGACCAAGCTCGCCGCCGACCCGAGAGACAAGGTTTTTGGCGTTTTGGGCCTCCTGCATCAGGATATCCGCGACGAGTTCCCCCCAGACTACAATCGCTCAGTAAAGGACGTCTACATTAGCGTTGTAGACTACCTGATCACCAACACTCGCCGTCTGGACGTGATATGCGAGGCGATCCACTATCCATTGCATGTCAGCACCATCCGGCTGCCCAGCTGGGTGCCAGACTGGTCACATATTCCCCAGCGCGAGATGCTGCGCCGGCCAACCAGCTTCCGGGCCGACGGCGGGCAAGATGCCGAGGTCACCTACCTGAGCGAGACTGGGCAGAAGATGGCGACCGCCGGCAATATTATGGAGATCTCGGGAATCCGACTCTCTACCATCTCGAGGCGCGGCATTGCCGTCGACGTGTTGAACACGCTTGACGACTATCTCATGGCGTTCTTGCATTGGCGTGCCCTGCTCCTAGGAAATCACGACGACGACGGCGAAGACCGCGAGTATACCAGGCGAGTTCGCGCGGCATTCTGCAGGACGCTGTGCCTTGGCGTGCCGCCCAAGAGGTATCGAGACTCATGGAGCAGGGTGTGCTATCACGTCTTTGCTCGCCTGATTCACGAGCGCTTGCCTTTTCTGCCTCTGGACGAGGAACTGCACATGGCTGCCAAGGACGACCTTTCGAACCGGCCTGACGATTGCGAGCAGGTCATCGACGAGGGATGCCACTTCAGCATGCAAGGCCGGTCCTTCTGTATCACTCGGCATGGCCTCATGGGGCTTGGCTCCGGCTACATGGCGGTCGGAGACGTCGTTGTAGTTGCTTTGGGCTGTTCTACGCCCATTATTTTGCGACCAGTTGGTAATAGTGGAATGTTTAGATTTGTCGGCGATGTCTACATTGACGGATACATGCATGGCGAGGCAGTTGACGAGGAGAAGCAGGGGGGGAAGAAATTAAAAAAGTTCAAACTAGTTTAATCGGTTCAATGCCTTGGGCTATCATTTCGGTGTTTGGGTTCGTTTGGTCAGAACTCTGGAGGACGGGATTCCAGTCTAATACCTCTAGGCTCCTACCTGGTATCTATGGAGAGATTCGTGGAGCTAGAATGTTAATTCTGTGCTCACTTTCGGAGGCGACAGGCTGCGAAGTGCTTCTCCCTGCTCATAATTACAATTGGACACGATAATAATTTCTCCCATCCCACCCCCTATTTCTGCATTGATTATTTATTTCGGAACTACCAAAAACGACCATAAAATGATTCCTGGCCGGTACTTGGAACCCCAGGTAGAGAGCCTCGTGCTTGAACCTTCAAGCGAACTCGTGAAAACTTCTTAGGAATATTGAACAAAATAATTACAAGTACGCACGCTGAAATTGAGACTTAGAGTCTGCAGATCAATGTGCTCGCGTCATGCTCCGGAACGGGACTGTGAAATATTGGGAATCGAATTGTCGTTGGCGCCTGTGGCGGAGGTCGTAGTCGTCACGCCCGGGGAAGGCGACTGAGTCCCGGAAATTGGCACCAAGCGCCAAAGTGGCCTTGACCGTTCTTGTATTGCTTTCATACCCCTCCTCGGGCTCTCGATGACGTGATGGGGAGAAGTGACATTGCAGTTGGAGTTGGGTTGCAGAGTTTGTCAGCGATGCGTTGTGCCTGGATATTGATGCGGCTATGCACGTATATTTCACCAAGCAGTTCTATTAGCAGACTGGTAACAGAGCTTTATCCACCAATCCAGGACGAAAACATGCGCACTCACCATAGAGGACAGGTAACAGCATGGTTGAGCAGCCAGGGGTCGACGCATCGGGGGTGGAAGACATGTCCGCACGGTAGTTGTCTTACTCGAGTGCCCTCGGAAATCTGCTCTGTGCATATGGGGCACCCAGTCGTCACCCCCGGATCGCGACTTTGTCGAAACCTCTTCAGCAATACTCGGGATCCCGCGCAGATCCTGCTAAATAACTCTACCACAGTGCTTCGCCCGACTGCAGCGGTATAGTGATTCCTGATAGGGCCTCTCTGCTCCACCCCTTGTGAGTATTCGACGATGGGAATCTCCTTCAGAGTCTCGCGAGGCAACCCCTCGGCTCGTATGTTCCCAGGTTCGCTTCTCTGCTGCTCCCGAATGATGCCCAACGGAGACAAGGTTCGAGAAATAATCAAGACAGCGATAACGACAAATGCAAGGCAAGCGATGAAAATTATGGCGATTTTCGTAGTTGAGGGACTTGATTCTTGCTTCGGGGAGAGGGGGGTAGCTGCTGTTGCCATGACTTGAGGCCCAAGACCGAGAAAGGTGGCGAGGGATAGGGATGCAACGCGTGCTGGGCGGTTGGGACAAGAAAAGGCTTAAGAATACGACAACGACACAGTGACAGAACCTTCAGTTTCTTTTTTTCTTTTTCCAACCTCCATCCTCTTTACCTCCTCGCCCCCCAATGCACATGCTTGGAGCAGAACCTTGTCCCTCGTCCAGAACTGACCTGGACACCAAGTGACAGCGGCAATATCCATATGGGCAAGAGATCTAGGCAATGGCCGCAACGGCGCTCGGAGGGTTCTCTATTGATGAGTACAAAATTCGTTACTCTGTAGAGGAGCGTGACCGGTTTTACGATATCATTACATACAGAAAACTCACCCCGGACTTGCTGTTGGTCCCCTGCAATGAGTGTAGCGTTTTCGAGGGAATTTTTGCATTTGCAACCTCTTTTCTAACGGGCTAGATGAGCCATTTTCCGCCAGTAATTACCCTCAAAATGAGGGATGTGCAACAGCTTGACTGTTTTTTAGTCTGGCAACTCTTTCTTCTAGCTTGCGGGAAATATCGACCAGGCCACATGAGCAAACTGAAGGAGGAGCCAGGCGGTCTCCTCCGGTGAACGTACCGAGGGAGAGGAAGCCTGTTGGATACTGGCCAATGCAAGAGAGGGCAATTTCCACCCCCCCCCCGCACTCCCCCCACCCCCCCCCC